TCAACATAGGGACTTGCAGCATTCATACAATCCACAGTGCCTTTTTGAAAGGCATGAAAGAGTTGGGCGGAGATGGTGGTGATCTCATCATAGCATCACAGCTTTTTTGATGGGTGGCTCTCTAGGTGGGATGAATACACAAATTCAAGAGAAACTTAATTTGCCATGCAACAAATTTATGAAATATTCATCAACTAGATGACTGACTTTTGGTCCTGCAGCAAAACGACTGATCAAACAATGGGAAGGACTCATATTATATTTCCTAAAGCGCATTCCTCAAGAATTCCAGCTTAATAAATAGTGCTTCATATAAGATAATCTCAAAGTCATTGAAGTGTTCTACTATCAAAGCTGAACTCTATTTGGGAATATCTAGTGCTGAACTATTCACAAAGTTAACTGGGCATTTTCAGTGCAATGATCTTTTAATACATAAACTTTATAGTGACTTGTTTACTCTGGTGTGAAGAAAATTCAGTGTGATGAAGAGGAGAAAACAAGAGAAGTGCAGAAACTGCAGCATGAGTTAAACAAAAGTAAATCATCTTTAATTACAAATTTTTTTTAACAAGAAATCAAAAAATGTACCTTGAAATAAATGGCATTTGAAATTTGACATGTTATATGGAGACGCATTCTGGTAGTTATGTTACTCTTCCATTTCCTTTGCTGTATAATGGTAGGAACTCCGTGCGGGGCACATGAAAACTTAATGCAGGCTTAATGCAGTCTTACTGGTCACTTTTCTGGAGTATAAACTCAGCCTAACTATTTTCATATTTAATTTTTTCAGTCCAGTTAAAAATCAATCTAATATCATATGCACAATGTTATTGATACAAAATGTGTGTGTGTTTGTGTGTTTTTTTAATAATGCCTCTTTTAGTTCACTTTAACACTATTAGCTTTTTTTCAGTGTGAACTCTCTTTTTTCACTTTTTTTCACTGCCATGACTGCTTTAAGCCCCATATTGGTGTTAGATGGCAAACACAATTCTATCTAAAATAATGTAAGTTTCTGTTTGGAGGTAACCAGGATAATGTTGAGTGTGCTTGAAATTAAGGAGAGCTTTTTGAGCAATTTAATATCTGGTAATATATTTTTATTTTTTAAGTAAAATTTGCACAGTATAAATAATTTTTAGAGTCTGCATTTTGTTTTTGCAAATACATTAAGGTTTGTAAGGTAGTATGAACTTTAAATGCTTCTAACACTAAAGCAATTCATTTGAATGGTTAGTTTTTAAGGCAGTTTTGGTTATCCTAGGTCTCTAGAGCATGCTGTAAAAATATTGCTACTTTCTCATGAAACACTGTATATTTACAAGTATTTTCAATGATAATACAAAATCATAATCTTCTGGTAAAACAGAAAAAAGAAATAGAATAAATACGGATTCACAATAACTTGATATACAGTTCCAATTATTTACATTTTACATCTTTACTCCAGCCAGCACATTAATTTTTATTATATTAGGTGGGCATTAGAATGATTTTGAATACTACATCAAAAAGTGTCCATAACTTTAAATGTGTGTTTAACATTTAAGTTGTATGTTCTTATTCCATTTCATTGGAAACTTCAACATGCTCAATACAACCTGATGACCTTTGAATAGGATTGAAAGCATTAGCATTAGTAAAAATTAATATGCTGCATTAAAGGTGGAAAGTTGAATAAATACAGTTTTTGAAATTTAGAACATATGAAATCTTAGTTTTACAGAACATAAAGGAAACTTAAAGTTTGAAGTCATATAAATATAAAACATACAGTAGAACCTTGATTATCCGGACTAATTGAGGATGAAGGTAGACTACCTTCATCCCCAATTAGTCCGGATAGTTAGGAAAAATTTGGATAATCGAAACAAATACTTTAATTTGTCTTTTAATGATAATACAACACGTTTTCTTTTTGATGACATATTGGTAATATTAAAAATAAATCGTGATCAAATTTTGAAGAAACAAATGTTTGTATTGAATTTGGACTACTACTGACCATTGCTAACAGACTACCTATTAATAATATCAATTAAATTAAATTATCCACAACCGTGAGGCAGATAATAGTGAGGGCTTATCAGACCAAATGATGGGCACAAATGTTCAGAGAACAAAGAGAAAACAATTTAATAAACTCAAAAAGTTACTACATAAGTACCTCACTATTATCTGCCTCACGGTTGTGGATAATTTAATTTAATTGATATTATTATATCTAGGGCTAGAAGCAACTTTTGTAATAATTTAGACTACCTATTGTTTAAAAGGCCCTCTGGTGTCGCAAGAAGACGGATTTTATAAAATAAAAAGCAGTTGAAACTGCATTTTTATGAATAAAAATTTGACGAACTATTTATCATTTTATGATGATTAAAATTTTTTCGTTGCATTTGCAGCTTTTAAGTAATGCATAAACCTTCGAGGCACGAGGCTCTTCGGACCACAAGGCATATTCGGTGGTCCACGTTGTCCATGCCTTACGCTGCCCTTGATCATAGAAATGATGTAATTTGAATATAAATAATTTATAAATACGTATGTCAAGTTATATTTTTATTATGACGTAAAATATATTTAAGAATTTACGACCACTGTGCTGGGTGAGACGCTGTTGAAAGAAAAAAAGTTATGCATTCCATCACATACATAAAGTGTCGTAATTCGCCAAGTGCAAATCAGCAAATTCGTAAAATTTTTGTTTATTTTGAACAATCTGGATAATTGAAAATCCGGATAATAGAGGTCCGGATAATCGAGGTTCTACTGTATATATTTTTACTATTACATATAAATAAACATAGTAAAAAAGTGTATATTTTTTATTTTTTGGAATCTCCAGAACAAATTAATCAAATTCCCATAAAACTCTATGGTAAAGCGATAATTGGTTAATGAACAATTCAAATAACAAACAAAGTCTTCGAACAGATTATGTTCGTTAACTGATCACCCACTGTACTTTCAAATCCTAAATTTAATTATTAAATTTTATAGAAATTTATAGTGGGTCTGGCATATGTCATACAAAAAACCCAAGGTGTGCTGTGCTATGATGGGAAAAGTAATCCTTGAATGAACAGAGGTAGAATAGTGATATGTAGTTGTTATAAAATTATAGTTTCATTCTGAATTCAGTTGCTACCAAATTATCATACTGATAGGAGAACAGAAGGAATACTTGAAATATGGTCCTATATGGTTCTCTGAAATGAAGAAACTTTTAATGCAAACTTTCTGTAAAACAATTAAGTTAATTTGATTTATTTTCATTGCAAGTTGCAAAATACTCCGATATTCTTGATTGAAAGTTAGTTTTCTCTAAACAAATGGTATCATCCTGGTTTCTATGCTGAAGTACAAAATTACAAGTAATAAACTATACTGATGGCTTATAGTTAGGTTTATTTTCCAGCTTTCTTCTCCACTCCGTAGTTTTCCTGGAAAGACTGCAGATTATTTTGGGAGGCTTAGCTCCAAAGAGCCTCCCTTGTTATGGGCTTGACAAATAGACAAATGCAAATACAGAGTACTTGTAAGCCATGTTGGATACATGGATACAATGGATTGGACTGAACAGAATTTGTCCAAAGATGCCCTTTTCTATTATTGTTATGTAGTACAAATCAACCTGCACTTCATAATTTCATTTGGCCTTTTACTGTTAAAAGGAACATCAGACCAAACTGCACCAAACAAGACCTTTCTTAACCAAAGTCTGGAATGGGATAATAATCTGGTAAGCAAGAAAGTTGCACTGTGGACATTACCCATTTTTGAGGCTCTGATTGTCTCCAATAGAATTTTAATCTTCATTAGATGGGTGAGAGTCAAGTGCTTTACCTCTACACCACTGTAGCACTGGTCCCTCCTGCAGGCTAAGCTAACTTGATATATGATATTTCTAACAGCAAACTACAGGAAATCATTAATTTGAACTCAGATAATTCTAAATCCCATTAGTTTGTGGTTGCACTCTGTCTTGGCCAGGGATATAAAGATTTACATGTTGAAGAATTTGATTAATTTGAAACATGGCTCCTTTAAAATATGAAGTGAAAATTCTGTCTAAACCTTGATATTTGTATTTAAACTTGTTCGTTTAGATCAAAATGCCTTCATTCTATAAGACAACAATAGATTATGAATAACTCTAATGTGGTTAACATGATTTTGCCTTTACAGTAACACATTTTTGGATGTTACCTTACCTATTGATTACCCTCTTTTTCCTCTTAACTCATAAAACACATCTGGATTGTAGGGTTGGAAGATTGGCTACAAGTAGTAGATTGAAATATTTGTAGTGCTCTGTTTCTAGATTTGGGCAACTTGGGGTTTTTTTTTTTTTTAATAATTTGGGCGGCTACTTTTCAAGGAATTCTGCTTTGCTTTTTATAAAACCTATCTGGCAACCTATGAGATTCTCACTGGACATGTGTTGTTTTCCTGCAGTTTATTTATACTATTATTAATAATTATTAATTAACAAAAGTAGCATTTTGTATATGTAGTTGTATTCTGTTTGCTTAATAAATTACATCAGTTACATGCATTTGGCATATTGTACAGAAATATGTAAATCTTAGATAATTCAAAACTCAATAATTTGAATCTGTTGTTATTTTGTCCTTTGAATTTCAAACTAACAAGGATTTCCTATACAGTACTTGTTTTATATTATCTGCAATAACCTAATATAGCACAATTATATCCCCAATCATTGAAGGGTTAGTTTGCCATTACAGCATATCTTAGGTATGTTGCATGGCATACACTGGAACTGGTATAAACCAAAAATTTTTATTTTCTATTGAATTATTATTAGATATAATTCATTATTATTAGATATAATTTGTTAGAAAGTAAGTTATAAAATCTTAAATTAAATTTTTCTTATTTGAAATTGATTTATATTTATTAAACTTATTTAGCTTTCAAATTAAAATTAAATGTCTTATATAAAATTATTTCATTGTGATTTTTAGAGATCCTTCATGATGTTGATCATCATCAGTCTTCATTGCAAAAAGAATTGGATAATGTTGTCAGGAAAAGAACTATGTTACAGATTCAAAGATGTCTTATTCGTTTACAGGATATTGGTGATGAAAAACTTCAAATACTTCAACAGATTCAAGACATGATTGAAAATAAAACCAGACAATTAGACATTGATCATGAGAAATTAGGTAAAAGATTAAATAGATATTTATTTTGATATTTATAATTTAATTGAAATATTTTTATAGTTAGTATGTATGTGCCAAAAGAACTAGATATTAAATCTATAAATAGTAAACATTTTTTTCTTTAATTTCATTTGTTATATTATCCTAAATTTCTCAAAGTTATTTTTAAAAATGTAAGCTTGTAGTTATTCTTCTTGTTTAAAATTATTTATTAATAAACTTAAAATTTTCTGTAAAATAATCTGCTATTTAATAAGTTTTCTCAAACCAAAATAATTTTCATTAAAATAAAAAAAACAAGGAAAAGAAGCAATATTTCCAAATATTAATCTTTTGTCTAATATTTAGGATTGATTGTTATATATGACTGTTTTAGGAGACCTGTCAAAAATGAACATTACATCAAATGGTTTGTATAGCAAATTCTATTTTTGATTTTGGAAAGATGTGATTACATCATAAAATTGTATGTCTAAAAAACAAAAATACTTAGAAACTTAAATCAAATGATTTGGAAATTATTTTAAAACATTATAACATTAGATATTTTTAAGGTATAAAATCTCATATAGTAGATGCTATAATTTGAAGTATTGAGAGAACTTTGTGTTAAATTTCAAGTTATGGAAATCACTATTATTTTAATGAGATTGTAAATATCACAGTACAAACAATATAGTTAGACTTAAATACACTATTTTTTATTGTTATTTTGTATATATACATATCTAAAAACATAAATAGTATCATTATAGAGAAAGTCTGTTTCACAAGAATTTTTGCTGGCAATTTACAGTGGTACCTCAGGTTACGAACGCCCCAGGATACGAAATTTTCAGGATACGACATGAAATTCGAACATATTTTTGCTCCACGATACGAACAAAAACTCACCATACGACGTTACATTAGTTCGCATTTTTCATTTGTTTTTCTTACTACAGTTATTTTTTTTAAATGTATTACTTGGCTTTAATTTGAGTATGTTTTTCGCGTTGGAACGAATTATTTGGTTTTACATGTAATCGTATGGGAAAAGATGATCCACCTTACGACATTTTCATGATACAATCTCAGTTTCGGAACGGATTAATTTCGTATCCTGAGGTACCACTGTATTATTTTCTATTCAACAATATTTTTTTGACACAGTCAACCATCTCAAAAACATCTTGTTTTATGATTGTGTAAGTTTTTGAAAGCTCCTCAAGAGCTCAAGATCTCTTATAGATTCTCTAAATGTAGGAATAGTTAGATATTTGCTCTTGATAGGATTTATTTCTTCCTCATTTTTATTGCTTGTTTCTCAGACAAGTGTTCACAGACAACTAGACTATTATCAAAATTTGCAAAAGTTTCAAATGACAATTTCATGTTTTTATCACTCATTGCTGTAATGTGATTTATTCAGTCTTTTCCAATATTGCTAACAAATTCTGGTGGAAATTCCAATTTATTTAAAACATAAGCAAATTGTTGACTAAAATCTGCATTTGCAAAGCAATTTGCAATGGTGCTTTGTAGAACTTAATTTCAAGCTATGCTAATTATTTTTAAAATTAAATTTAATTACATCTAGGAGGTTCACTCCAAACTCATATGATTTCATTTTTAAAAATGTGCAACATATTTTACACATTATGCTTTTCCTAGATCCAAGGGTTGTAATCTAGTCGTTTTTGTTGGTAAAAGTTGAACTGTTTTAACTTTGGAAATCTTCAAATGTGCATTGCCTGATATCTAATTTTAAAAAATTGATCTTTCTGTTTTTGGCCATCATCTGGATACATTGGCATAGTGCATTGAAGATATGGAAGATATATCTTTATCTGAAAAATATTGTACACTGATTAATTATTGATCTGATAATCTTATTAATATTACTATAGTCTGCAGATTTTGTTGTAAATTCCTTAACATGTAAATCTCTATATCCCCAGTCAAGACAAAGTGCAGTCACAAACTAATGGGATTTAGAAACTATCTGAGTTCAAATTAATGAGGATTTCTGTATTTTGCTGTCAGAAATATCACATATTGAGTTAGCATGGCCTGCAGGAGGAGTTTAAGCTGCAGTGATATAAAGCTTCTCAACCATATAATGAGGATTAAAATTCTATTGGAGACAATCAAATCTCAAAAATGGGTGATGTCCACAGTAAAACTTTCTTGCTTACCAACTTATTGCATTCCAAGACTTTGATTAAGAAAAGTCTTGTTTGGAGCAGTTTGGCCTGATATCCATAAAAAAAAGAATGATTTTTCTGTTTTTGGCAACCATCTGGATGCAGTGGCATAGTGCCCTTGAGGATATGGAAGATGTATCTTTATCTGAAAATATCGTGTACTGATTATTATTGATCTGATATTCTTATTAATATTACTATGATCTGTCCATGGTGTGCAGATTTTGTATTCGTAGTGAATTATAATCTTGCCAGAAAGTATTCAGGCAAGATTATAATTCACTAGTTCTAATGAATAACTTGCCACTTTAAAATCACTTCATTACCTAAAAATGGGTTAGTCTAAGTTAATAGTATTGCATTATGCATGTATGAGTGAAACTAGGTACTGATATATTTCATAGCAGAAGCGCTATATGATTGCATGAAACCATCTGTGGTTTTGAAGCTATCTTTAATGATGGAATAATAAGATCTTTTTAAAAGCATGCCCCCATTCATGGTACAATCAGACCAACAATGGGTCAGGTAGTGGTAAGAATTGGGCCCAACATCCTGGACAGACATTTCACAAAAATTTCGTGAGTTTGCTTATTTGGATACAATCCAGAGCTGATGCCTTAACCACATCTGCAATCCAGCCATATTTTTATGTTTAATATTGGCAGAGAGACTTTTACCAAAAGCAAATAACAACAATGACCACAAATGGTGCAATCTAAAATCAAATGGATGGCTAGATGGCCAAGGTACTGAAGATGCCACCCTACCTGTATGAGGGAGCCTCCAACCAGGATTAAATAGGGAAAAACTTCAGAGAAATTTTTTATGGGTGATTGTCTCAGATATGTCAAGCCCACTTTTTACCACCTGGCCATTCCCACTGCCATTGTGGACCTGACTGAACCAAACATAGCTTTGGAAAAAAGGCTTTTAGTGCTCATCAGATGGAAAAATCTTAGAATCAACACACCTTGAAAATGTTGCATGTTATATGTGTCCATTGCTTAAAAATAAACATTTTATTTAGATTATATAGATGATTTAGATTTTTAATAAACCATAAATAAATATTTTTTGTATGTTTTTCTTTGATTTTAAAATCATTTCTGCTTTCAGTGTACAATAAATAAATTCACTTCAAATTCATATTTGAAGTGGCAAATGCTTAAAACATTTTACATTTTATATATTTAAAGATTATTATACATATTTAGAACATGCATTTAATTTTGTCTCTGATTTATTTGCACCTTGTATTGAAATTTTTTTTTTTTTAAATTTTTGAAAACTTAATTTTTTTGAAATCTACTAAATAAACTGTTGGTTATCAGAAAAAATGCATACTGACTAACATTATTTAAAGACTAATTTTGAAATGTTGGTATTAATATTATCATCTTATTGAGAATTTGTATTATTTAATAAAAATGATTTCTGTATCAATAAATTTTTAAACCTCAATGAATACTAAATTCTTACATATATGTAATGATATTAGATATATTTGATAATTAGAATATTTTCAATATAAAGCATTTGGCATATTAGCATTGACTGTAAGCTTTAGGTTGAAAAGAAAGTATTTTAAGTAAGAGTGATACAATAAATTTGTTTTAAAAATTATATAAATGATGATTTTTATTTCTTTGTGGCTGCAAAATCTCAATATTTCATAAGTATTCCATTTGTTGTTTTTGCATACTATCTGAAAACAAAGTTTAATTTTTTAAGAGGGAACTAGAAAAATTATATTCAGACATAAACGTTATTAATATACTTCAGTAATAAAATAATATACAGAAAATTTTAAAATTAAGATTTTGCTAATTTTTTTGTCAGAAAATCTGTTTAATCATTCTAATTGAATTTTGTTAAATTTAACATTGTTGAAATATATTACAGATTTTGGTCGTGAGCATGACAACCACACTGAAACTAGAAATGATATGCAACCAGAACGATCCAGCAAAAGAGCAAGAAGACAGCGTACCAATGATCTTAATTGCAGAGATGAAACAATGGACAGACATGAAAGAGAAATCACTGGAGGCAGTGGAAAGAAACAAAAGAAGAAGAAAAGAAAAACCAAAGCTGAGAAAGAACGTGACACATCACCTATTGAACCACCCATTGATCCCGATGAGCCCACCTATTGTCTTTGTGAGCAGGTTTCCTTTGGTGAAATGATTGGTTGTGACAATGAAGAATGCCCAATTGAATGGTTTCATTTTTCTTGTGTTGGTTTGACTACAAAACCCAAGGGAAAATGGTACTGTCCAAAGTGTAGAGGTGATAGAAGCAACCAAATGAAGCCCAAAACTTCTTAGCATCTTTAGAGTTAATCCATTTTCACCATTCTCAACAGTTCCATAATGTACATTACTTCTCAAATTTATCATTTTTCATCGAACATTATTTTATTTACACAAAATTAATTACCTATATTTATAGTAAGGAAGAGAAAAGAAACAATTTCTCAAACAGATTGTTAATGAAAAAAATATCTGTATAATAAGTGCTTCTAAATTTCATTAATATAAAGAATATTTTTAACATTTTAAGTTGTTCAGTTATCAGGTCCTAGACCTAAATAATCAATTATAGAAGTATTTAATGATATAAAAACATTAGAATACCATTTATCTGAGATTTTATCAGATTTTAAATACCAAACTTTGTTTATTATTGAAAAACATTAAACAGAGAGAGTGACAATATATAATTTTAACCAGAAACAATTTGAATGAAGTATAAATGAAAATTCTAATGGCCAAATTATGTAAAAATTTTGAATTTAAGTTTTTTTTATAATTTTGGCCATATGAATAAACATTCACTTTCTAATATTATTAAGTTGTTTGAAATTATTTTAAGAGTTAGTATAAAACAACAGATATATCTGTTTTTTAACAATCATAATACTATTTTCTTGATATGAGTGTTGTTTCATAATACTATTAAGAGAATAGTACTAGTAATTAATATTAATACTGGTATTTTCTTAAAACTAATATTAATATTGAAAATGTCAATATATTCAGATAGGTGGTATTCAAATGTATTTAATGAATTTGCTGATTTTTTTTCAAACTTTGTATGTTTTTATCCACATAGCTTTATCAAACATGCAAAATTTTGTATTATTTGAAGAAATTTCTGCATTAAAAATTTTGTTGTTATATTATTCAATAGAATGAATATAATCAGCAATTTTTATAACTTGCCATTATGGTATTAGTTGAATTGGTGTTTGGGATATTTCATCATAAATACTTCTGCTTTTTATTAATGTATCTACATGCATTTTTTTAAAAGTGGTTTAATAGCATTTATATCATTTGTTTCTTAATGCTAATTGTTACTTCTTACTATATTTTCATATCACATTTCTGATACTTAACATTAATTTATTATTCAATACAATATATGTTCTTGAATGTACATTGAGGGAAGGAAATCATAAAATAATTTTGTTAATTTCATTTTAATATTCAAACAAAATGTTTAAACTTTAATATTATAAGAATTGTTTTTTAGATGCTGATGGTAAACCTTTAAAAATTAATAATTTTATTTATTTCTAAGTTTAAAATTTCATGTTATGATTTTTTCTGAAATAGCTCATGAATTTTATTAAAAAATTTAAATTTATAGTCTATAAAGATAATTACCTTTGTTTGCAATATTTATAAAGAATTTTTACAAATATCTTTTGCTGATTAAAACATCTAATGTAATACAAAAGTTTTCATTTACAATTGGAATCTGTTTGTAATGTTCTGTTAGTTGAAATTTTCATTAGCATAGTAGATATTTTTTTTTAAAAAAAAAGATGAACCCATAATAGTCAAATGGCATAAGTGTACAGTTGCCATTTAGTAGAACAAATGTTGATTTTACTAATTTGTTCTAATATAATTTGTTTTCATTACATATATAATCTGTTGTTGTTAATTATATAAAATTAGATTCTAAGGATGTGTAAATGGAATTATTTAATTTGATTTTAATATATATAAGTAAGCAAAATTTTATATTATATAAATGGTTGCTTGCTTTGAAATATTGATCAAATGATAGATACTAATATTGTAAATTATGCAAATTATTTTGAGTGAAGTTTATATAATAAAACTTTACTATGTGCATTGAAAATTTTTTAGAAAATTGAAAAAAGATACTTTACAAAAACTTTAATTTTGTTCTCCTAAAAAAATGAAATATTTACAAGTGTATTTATTCGTTTATATTTTAGTAAAAGTTGGATTTGTTTAAATGATCCAGCATTTTTAATATCTTGAATACAAATGTAGTTTGGAATAATTGTTCAGTAAAGATTTTTCTGATGTTGAAAGTATATTCTATGGTAATTTTATACAAAAAGTATATTACTAAAAAAAATATAAAAAATTTTATATTTTTCCATATGTGAAAGAGTTTAATATTAGTGTAAATGTTCCATTTTGCACACCTTTAGAAATTTCTTTTCCAAAAATTTTGTTAATTTAAATATGTTTAGAGTAGATTTATTTAAGCCAAATTTATTTTAGTATAAAATATGTATGTTTCCAGGTGCATTTTAAGTATCAAAATAAAGATACATTGAAAAGTATTAGTTGATTTAGTTTTATCACCAGTTTTATTTTTATTGATAAGCAATAAATAAAATTAGGGAAATTTAATATTCTAAAATTTAAAAAATTTTACAAATATGTATCTTTTATTTTTAAAGAAATATGAATTTTATATAACTTTTCTTTTTGAAAAGATAAAATGAGCAGTAGAAATGTATATATACAGTATATACTATTTTTATTGGTATGTAATATATTTCTCTCTAATTAATTGTAGTTTTTTGAGATATTACAGAATTTTTTAGGACATTTTCCAGTTAAATTTTTGTAACAATTGAGTTTAACGATAGATTATATAAAATTAATAAATCATTGACAAAATTTTAGTACAGAAACAAATGAAATGAGTTAATACTTGACTAATTAAAATATTTTTTATTTGTTTATGAAATTTTAGAAAAATTTAAATTGTTTACACTATATTCTATTCAAGTTAATTTAAAATAATATAGTTATTTTTTCTAATTACATCCACCCTGAAAAAATTGAGCATGATCATGCATATTATGGAATATTGAAGTATTTACCTTTCCCCACTAGTAACAGAGTAGATAAAACCATCAAATAGTGGTAATTGGTCCAGAGCTGGCACCCAAACAATGGGTTGGTTACTTTTGAGATTTCTGAGTTTCTTCGTGTGTCTAGCACTTGAACAGGGGGCCAGTTTCCTGTAGAAAGTTCTTCTAGGAGGCATTTAGAGTAATGTATAGAAATTTTTTAAGATATTTACTTAGGCTCAATCTTACTCAGATAAATGTTACTATAATTTTCTGTGAATAAACTGCACTAATATATACCTCATAAAAAAATTGATAGAATGGAAATAAAACCTTTTTATGCTGCTATTGTCGTATACTCTGAAGTTGCCATTGAAAACATGACACTAGCCCAGTATCCATATAATTCAGAGGATATCCTCTCAAACATCCCCTTTTTTTTCCTTCATTAGCATTTCGTTGTAGATGTCATAACTGAAAGGGAAACCACCTAAACATTATGTCAAAAATGCAAAATTGCTGTCAATGACAGTCTTTTGCTATTTTGTTTTATTTTTATCAAACAATAAAAATTTTTTATTTTTTACAAGGATTCAAAAGTCAATCCTTTAGCTCCTAAGTTAATAGTGTCTATGATAAAATTAACAATTGGTTTTTTTGATAGTTCTTTGAGTTTATATAGAGGAATTTTTATCTGAAACTTATCTGCTTTTAAGATTAAAAATTTAATTGGTATTAAAAACTCTTACTTTGTGTAGATTGATGTAAAGACAATAAACTGGTAAGCACTAAAGGCAAAGGCATATGTTAAAGTGAGTGCTTTTGGTTTTTTGAGAGAAAATGCAGGAAATTGGAAAGCATCAGATACCAATAGATTACTGTATGATGTCTTCTAAGCTTTTAATCTTAAAAATAATTCATTGTTTTGGTATGACTATTATTTATCAATAAGGTACTGAGTTCTTTCACACTCAACTCTGGATAATAAGAGGGCCTATTTTCCACTCTTGATGGTGAGAGGGGCCTGACATATCCAGGACAGACTGTCCAAGAATTTCTGGGATTTTCTTTTGACTACCTGGATTCAATCCCAAAGCAGTAGGCTGGCATCTTACCACCTTAGATCTGGCCATCACCAAATGTAACTTGTTTATGTCTTACTAAGATTTTTTTAATCTCTATTTCTTCTTTTAATTCTGCTGTTAGTAGGGTTGTCTTAATTAATTGTTTGTCAAAGTGATAACAGATGTTAGTGGTTTGAGGAAATGCATCCTCAGTTAAGTTTATAAGGTATTAATAACTTGAAGTATTTTGTAAAAATGGCCATAATTATGAATGATGTTTGGAACTGTCATTGAATTTGATATGGGGCCAATTGTGACAGAACTTTAACGAATATCTGTAATAATGTATGTACTGGACGTTATATAATCGTGTCAGATGTACAGTACCAGTGCATGAAAAAGCTTGGGATAATTTAATATTACTTTTTGAAACAAAAAAACAATAAAGTTCGACAAATGTTTTGAAACGTTCACTTCAAAGCAAAGGGTGATCAAAATTAAAGTAATCCTATTCAGAAGACACTAGCTCAAATAAGTAGATTGACACCAAAATTTGTTCACGCTTGATGAGGATGAGGATTAAGATTTGCAAAGAAAAATTTTTGTTTCAGAATTGTCCGCTACAGGGTAATTGGCGCTGCAAGCAAAGAAATGTGATTGCGTAGCCTCGTGAAATGTCGTCGAGATGGTATAATGTTAATAAGTGAAAGCTGCTATTATCAGCTACAGCTACGATGGCTATCGCTTTACTGGAGCATACATTATACTGATTTTCGTAAGATCTTCACAATTAATGTTGCGAGTGCTGTTCGAGAATATCACTGTCGTAAGAACTTACATCACGGACCAATGTGTCCACAGGCTGTCAGGAAAATGGTGATGCGATTTGAGACAACTGGATCCTTGAGTTATACTTGGCAGGGGACGAAAGCCTATTGCTGCAAAAATCATTGAAGACGTGACCACGGCTGTTGTTGAACGGGCAATGGCCCCATTTATCCTGTAATGGACAATTTGGAATATCCTTTTCACGTCCTTTGAATAGCGTGTACACAAATTTTGGTGTCAATAGGCCTATTGGTTGGAGTTAGTCCTCTGAATAGAACGAATAGAGTAGAATTAATTATGAATACCAGATAGCGTATGAAGATTTCAGTTGCTAATTAATGTTTTAAAATATTAATTAAATCACCAGTATTAACTATATTCAAAAACAAAGAATACATCTCTTACAAGTTAATTCAGCGCTTCACCAAAAAATGCCAGACAATTCGGTCCAAAGTAGATAACCTTCACACACACAAGATCGCTTTCAGGTCTTAACCACTATATCTGATTAAACATTGCTATTCTGTGTTATCTCACATGTCAGAGTCACTGGTGTTAAAATAGCCTTAGTTTAATAACAAATACTTTTAAAAACTCCATCGATTTTCTTGGAAAATTCACTAGAAAGTCTCGGAGCCCGTCCGAGATTAGAGCCCGAAAGCTTAAGTTTCATTAATTTCATAGTCGATTC